GTGTTTCAGTTCGTGTGTGTAGCTGTTGGCCTTTGGCGCGGGGGCATTGGGCTTCCGGAAATCCTTCCCCATTCGAATTAATCACAGAGAAGCATCAATCATTTGTCCAAACTATTGGACAAAAACAAAAGCGTTTGTCAAACTTCGCCGAGGAAGAGTTGCCTATCTGCTGTTGAATATTGTACGACAAAAGACGGCCCACTAACAATTTTCACAAAACACAGCGAGAGACAGAAGGGAAAAAAAGGAAAGAAAAAAAACGTATGCACAGCGTCACAATCTGGAGGTATATAATTTTTACCCTCCCATGCCAGGACATTATGATAATTGAATTCGATATTGATAAACATGCTGGCTGTGACATTATGCTGTACAGCACCACTTGGACTTTGGATCAGCTGCAGTGCTCGAGAGTGCGAATGAGGAAAGGGGGCCTCACTTCGGCGTCATTATCCAAAGGTAAATGGGCGAGTGATGCAACTGGAGAGGGTGCGGAGACGTGTGTGAAAGCACCATTCATTCAATTAGGAAAGTGTGTCTGCTGGTATCTCCGCCTGTCGGTTGGTTCCGGAGTTTTGGTTGGATTTTAGATCCGTCGACGTGCTTTAGCGTCTCGGGCAGAGAGACGGGACCACCTGTTTTGCGCAGGATGATGTGGTAGTCTGAATGAGCGGCTATCGGACACGCAAGGCATTCGTCACTCGGGGCTTAGTTGAAACAGCCTTACTCCACAGCTTTCGTGTCAGATTGTTACATTCAACTGAGTGTTGTAAACACAGTGACCTTAACTCAAGAGGCATCGGATATGTACTTTTTTTCTGCCATCCTTTGGTCTACTAGCACACGGAGCTATTGTTGCAATCATTGCCAGCACCGTACAGGTATGGATGTGTAGATTGAAGTATGGTCTTATACCATAGCATTTCAGGGCCGTGTTTGGTCCATAAAATGATAATATCATTACCGTCAGATGATTCGATTAGCATAAAAAGAACGCATGTTAGTCACACCACAGTTTGTCGTAATGTGCATTGGCCTACGGCAAGTACCTCTTGTCACGAAGATATGAGATCATTACAAATATCTGAGCCTCCGAGTTTGGTTAGAAGAAAAAAGGAATGAAATTTCTTTATCCTTGTCACTGCTGTCATCGTGAAATGGGTGGTCGCAGTTGTGTACTGTTATTGTTATATTCGTCAAGAATTAAGATCAAGTAAGGCACGACACATTGGCTCAAAGAGTGCTCACGTTTTCTTCAACGTACCGCCCCTTGTCATATTATTTGGATGGAAATGGTGCACGTACAGTACATGTACATGGTGTCAAACGTAGAGGTTTGTCGAAGGCTCTAGTGAAGTTTACCCTCATTAGTCAGGTTTATGAACACCTGTAACTCTCCTTTGCGCTGCTTGCCACCGTGCTCTCAGGATGTAACGCCAGTCCCGGTTGAATTGCGCGTTCCAAACCACTGATACCTCGTGAGCCAGTGAAGTTGTAATGTCGAAATCACGTACACTGCAGTAGCATCGAGACGAAAAGATAATGTGAGTGATTTCGGTTGTCGTTTATGTATAATTCAAAACTACCAGGGACACGTTGAGTTGGTCACACTGCATTTTCAAGAATAACACCCATACACTAACACGTAGATCTCAAACGTTTTCATTTTCAAAGCTACCTCAGTCGGCAAATATAAACGCGTAATGCAACTAAACAAGAGCAAAATTCGGGACGATATTACATTACTTTATTTACAAGTTTTTCTTTTGCAAATACGTGGAGTAATCACGATTGTAATTTTGACGTTGACATTGTATAAGATTTCTTAAAGAGCGTTTTTGTTTTTAAGGAAGTAGAAAACACACAGTTTGAACAACCTCTGTCTGCTCAAATTAACATGTCCTCTCCCTGTTCTCTGTTAATGTTTTTTCCCACTATTTTGTCTCGTTCAGTTGATTTTCGCTTGCTCGTATTTTCTTGCATATCCAGGGTGTTGTTAGAACCGATTGACATAGCATGTTGTACAGCCAGTCCCCTCTTGTCAGCTCGCACGCGCGCGCCAGTATCGATAATGGGAACTTTGTTTGCACTCTAGGGTCTTTCCATCAGAGAGGGTTAGCTCATCATTTAGTCCACTGGCCAAACATGTTGTTTCAAAACACAGCAGAATGCGGTCCAAAGCACAAAGCACTAACACGAAAAGATAAGGAAAGAATAGAAGAGAAAACAAACAAACAAAAATGGAAAACATCTGTTTTGTTTTCACGAAAGGGAGAGTCGTAGTCGAATCCATCATGGGTCGAAACTCGACACTGATCATAACAGAGACTCCCTCTGTCACCGTCGATTTTGACAGCGTTTCACTTCAGACTGTGTTGTGATGGTCCTTTGATATATCTGGCCACGACACTGCAAATTAATTTCAAAATGGAAATTTTGCATTGTAATAATCTCTTTTATTTCTGGTTAATGTTGATAGTGGTCTTAGTATTCTGTGTTTCAGTGCTGTCTTTCTGACGTTTAACACATTTTCACTGTTCGTTTCCTGAGACACACACCATGTGGGATTTTGATACGCATTATTGGGTATTAGAACTAATGCACGAGACGGACTCTCATTTTGATTATTTAGATGAACTGTGCGAATATTACAGCTTACTGAAATTGATTAATTGCGGAATGCTTAATAACGAAAGTCGGCGTTTTTGTGATGCGCGTGGGAAAACAACATTTAACAGTTACCGAAACGCCACCTCGTCCATTGCTCATGACATTTCCATTAGATGGCTATTTGTCCACACTGAATTGCATTAAGCGTCTGTGGAAACAGATGTTTTATTATGTATATGCAAATATGACCGTTTTGGTTTTCGGTATTAACTGCCAGAATAAATTTTCTGTTATATCGAGTGTTTGGATACGAACCGTCTGCATGGTAGGTAAAAAAAGCCCTGTGAAATGAGAGGATTACCAGCAATTATCATGCCTTATGAATTGTCTTCGCTGGTGCTCGTCAGTAGCTCCCAGGGGATCATTTTACTGGTAGTCTTCGAGGGCCCTTGTACTGACGCAGCGGCTTCTCCAAATGCCTCGCCTGCTTGATTGATGTTGCTTCGGGGTCACGCTTCTGACATTTCAGAAAGCAGCCGTATTTTGCAATGGCTTGAATTCAGATTTTCCACTGGCTTGTTAACCATCAAGTCCATTCTTTCGCTCTCGTTATATGAGTGTTTTAGGACCATACCTGGATGTGTTCAGGCCGGGTTATTTGAGCGGCCAGTGTATACGCGCGCTAATTAAAGCGCGTGATGATTAAAGCATCACATAACGGAGAGAATGGACATTAGCATAAAATGTTTATACTGCGGTATTATCGCATAAATGATGGGCTCTGTCGTGTATTTTCCACGACATTTGCACAGTGTCATTACGGCTTGAGTTATATTCCTCTATGGGTTATTAATCATCCCCCGTTGCAGCAGATAGGCCTACCGGTATATCGCTTCTTAAAAGAAAATTACCTCACGGGACTATTTTCGGCGCTGGTTTTCCAGTAATGATTGCCTACTTTAATTAAGTTTACTGTGATTGGCTCTTTATTCTGTTCATTTTGAGCATACATCAGAACTTGTGCTTTGTTTTAGTGTTTATTATTGCTCCATTTTAAGGTTTATAAAATCATGTTTTATCATTTTTACCCGCTCAGCAGTATTCCATTCATGCATTTTTGTCTTGTAGTTGAACTAACCCTTGGAACCCTACATTATCATAATGTGCCCCCCCAAATTGCCCGTTCACTTTTCACTGGACTTTTACCTGCTTGCGACCTGCCTGGTTCATACTTCAGGCGAATGCGAAAACGAAGTAAATGTGACGTAACGAACAATTTGCAACTTGTTCAAGTTTTACGAATTCGCAACTCAAATATTTGATCTGACGTCACAAATTCGTGTTCGTGTTCGCTTTTGCGTGAAGTATGAACCGACCTTAACACCTATTTTTCTGAAGCCCGCGGGGAGATTTCGGCAAACGTGAGATTACGAATTACTGGGTTGCTTATAGCTTATCCATATAGCTTATAGCTTTTATGTTACGTTTGACGCTTGTCCCCTTGGAATCATACCAAAACTTAGGCCTCTCCGTGAGCAGGGTCACTACTCTGCAGTCCGTTTGCCGGCCGTTGTATGCAATAAGCCTAAAGTGTGGTCAGGGTGTCGGACTTTATAATTCTCCATGCACTGACCAGCCAGTTGGGGATGCCCAACTCCTTCCCAATCGACAAAAAGCATTAAGTTGTTTGGAATCAAAATAACCCCCATTCCGACCAGCAGCATGGAAAGTTTGTTTTTACAGGCTATTTGAATTCGACCTTCTCTGAGATGTTGTGTGAGGTGTCTTTCCACAAAACTGGTACCCGACGACCACTATGTACCGGTAATATTGTGCGGTGCCAAGTTGGTTAAAGTCTTACCTATACCGGTAACCGTTCCATATTGTCTTATAGTACTCTTTGAACTCCACAGAGTTAAAATTCATTCCGGCTACAAATACCCTCCGATTGAAACAAGGGGTAGCACGAAATAGGTTGAAATTTATACTCACTCGATCGCGAAAGAGTAGATCAACATTTCCCTCGAATTTCCTCTGGAATAGGTCCTATTTTTAAAAAATCAATCTGAATGTATAATACAGTCTTGTCCCTAGTTTCACTCTTTGGGATTAAGTGAGTACCGCTTGGTGATTCTCCATGCTTTTCCCAAGCAGCTATTTTCTCTAAAGCCTCGCCATACAATGCTTCGTCTGTTATCACCGAAGATCAATCCAGGGGAAATTCGTACCCCAGCGATTTTCATTTCGTACCAGTTGGCCCGTGAACCTTGCCTTATTTTGAGACTGAATTGAAATTTCTTCATTTTCCACTTTCCCTCAGCTCTGTCCCACGGCAGAGTGATCGCCAACTAATCTCATGTTTCCTGTCTTCCCCCCCCCCCCATGCACAGATAAAACCAGCCGTTTACTCAGAGAGGGAATTCCATCCTGTGTTGAGGCGGGCAGGCTATGACCATTTTCTCTTTGTTTTTTGATGGAAACCGCTGCCAGGAAAGGCCTAGATTTTCGTTACGAGTGGCCGTCTCCCAGACTACCTGACGCTGACGTGAATCCGAAATAAGTTGAGAGGGAAGCGGGGCACCGAGGAGTGGGCCCCGGTTGCCGTCTGTCGCCGTGACTCGTGCCGGTGCGGAGGAAACAACAACAGAGCCATCCAGATTTCAGTCAGCCAGCGAAGATAGCGGAGGCTTCTTCAGATTTTTCGCCGCTCACATAATCTGGCCGTTGTTTTTGACTCTGCAACAAGGCAGACCAGCCGGGGAGCATTGCAGTGGCGTTTCGCAAATATCGTCGGCAGTTTCGATTAAGGTTTTGTCCCACGTGGATTTGGATCGGACACCAACTGTGTATTTTGCGTATTTTTGTAGCGGTTCGCTGGGAATTATCAATCCAGGAACATCATCAGCCGCGAGCGACGAGATTCAACGACGGAGCGAGATTTGGAGTGCCCGCTGCGGGATACGTAAAGGTGTCGTTGGTACACGTACCGCAAAGCGGCTACAGATCGCGGGAATCCACCGTAGCCCTCGTTGGCGTATTTATATTTCTCCGCGATTTCGCGAGAAATGGCTCGAAAAATCTCGCGTTATTAAAACAAGTGGAAAATGTCAACAAATCACCGGGAGGTAACATTCTCAGCGGCGGGGAAGCCACAGTCTCAATGTAGCGTGGAGCTGTTAAAAACAGCGCTCTTGGCCTCTCCGGAATCGAGTTTTTTGTCTTCCAGCGCCTTCAAGCCAAACAGACAATTGGAAACGACCAATTAAACGGCACGGGCCGACAACTGATTTTTGGCGCGAACATAATGAAATGGAGGTTGGACTGATATGCACGGTGCAGACCCACCCAGATTGTCGGCATGGCAGTGGTAATGGTATCGCCAGCCAATGAGCAATCATGCATAGATTCGACGGAGCAGTTGCTCTGTCAGACAGAGGAGACGACGGCAGCGTGCGCGGGCGTGCTGGCGCCCTCATCTGGCAATCGCACCGATCCCACCGCTACCGCCGACAAAGACAATCAACAACAGCTGCATGAGGCTGCCGGCTCGACCATGGATTACCATGGCCGTGGAGGAGGTTGGGAGCCACTCTGCAGTCACCACGCTGCTGAAGAGTACGAACTACAGGCTCGGGATGGGTCCGGATCTACACCGGACTCACCCCAAACAACCGCTCATACAGGATTACTGGAGAAGGCAGACAAAGATGACACACATGACAGCGCATCCAAAGAAGAGTTATTCTTTATTGGCGGGAGCACTGGCGGAAAACAACCCCACAGAGGACAGAGTAGTGCCTCCAGTTCCGGACGGCGACCCGCACAAAAACGGAGACATCTGGCCGAGCCGTCAAGTGACAATCGCTTCGTCAACCTGGCCCACCGGTCGGCTCTCGTGAACGGTACCATCCCCCGGTTCACGCCGCTTCAGCTCCACCGATCGGAGCGGTCTTGGGCCCGTTCCTCGGTGGCAGACATGAAAGGCAACGGATCCGCCGAGGGATCGAGCCGTAAAAGCAGTGGTGGTGGTGGGAAGAAGAAAACCCACTACAGTCACGCCAACACGGGCTACAGACTGGGCTTACGGAGATCTCTATTCGAAAGACGGAAACAACTCAGTGATTATGCCCTGGTTATTGCTATGTTTGGGATTGTTGTCATGATCGTGGAAACGGAGCTTTCGTGGTTCTTTTACAGCAAGGTAATGTACCATTTCGTTTGTCAACCAAATCTTAAGTACCCTTTATTGTAATTTATTAAATGTATCCATCAATGGAAAATGATGCACGTTGCAAATCCGCTCATATCTTGTCGTTTTTAAAGGCTAAAGCAAACACATTCTAGTTGAAATCCCCAATTATGATGGTCGAGATGGTTTGTGGTGGATCTCTGACTGACTATCTTCGAATGCAAAATGCTCATGCTTGCTTATTGCTGTGATCATGGAGCTGCAACGCCATTCTGTAATTGACCTGTATTGTGCTGCAATAATGCAAATCAATGCAAATCTGTATCAAAAATATATCTCGTTTCCCAGGGGTTAAAAGGACCCCCACGGATGATCACTCATCGAAGATCGTTATCTTCAGGCTTTTCCGTCTCGGCGGATCAGAATGGGTCACTCTCAACATGAAGACTAAAGCAATAAAACATGACAGTCTTAACGTCTAATCTTCTTCCAGTTCTTGATATTCACATACGCAAAGTCGTGGGGAGAAAACGTCTGTATGGTTTTTTAACATGTTCATGTCAGCATCGTGGATTTACAGCCACGGTAGAGGGATGCAATCCCGCCAGCGTCGATGATGTTCACAGAATACCCACGCCATCAAATGTCATTGTCATGCCCTGTAAATAGTGCGCACTGTATACCTGTGCACTGCAATGGCTAAACATGGCGATGAATGCAGCGTATTTGAACAACTGTTCCAAATCACCGCTGTTCGATGCGTGCTCGACCAGCGGCCGTCACGCAACCAATTACAATTAACATCATGTGTAATTGAACTTGGAAGTCGAAAACAGACCAACAACATCTCATTACACATGCAGCCTCTGCTGCATGTATTGTCTGCCCCGTATTGATACATGCAGTGAGTTCGAAGTCAGAGTGTCTCCCCAGTGTCATAAGGCAACAACGTTCCCTTTGCCCCATTACATCAGTCGAGTCCCGCGACTCACTGCAGTGTCGGGGGGGGGGAATGGCCATGATTGTATGCGATATGCAGGCACACTGAGTGTGCGTAATAATATTTTCCATCTGTAGGTACTGTGATATTGCATATGTGTCATTAGAACCTCCCTCACATTGGGCAGCGGGATAGAGAATGCCACACATTCCTTCACGTTGTCGTGGCATCACAGACTAGGAATACGATTGGATATTGCCTCTGGGACGCTAAAGGATGTATGCCTGAATGAAACGGCAGAAATTAATATAATTGTTACCCTGCACAGATTCCAAGCTAGACCAAGGATTCCCTACCCAAACAAACACGTCCTTGAGGTTACGATTGATCACGGTACTGGCGAACATAATAGTGAAAATAGGCTTTCACTTCCCCCATCGCGCATCGTCACTGTACTGTTTCTTTGGATGCTTGGTTAATATATGCGTGATCTGTGGACCATGCCATCGTATACACGAGGCATTACACAAACACAGTGGGGCCAGTACACTGTGGTATTGTATACCTCGGTGTGTTCACTTGCTTGTTTACATTTTATATTACATGTCTGTAAATTTCTCAAGCTTGCACCCAGCAACCAGACAAAGTACTGTTTAGCTGGCATGCGAAGAGTATTTTCCATGGCTGTAATGTCAGAACGATGTGATGTCATTTTATGAGAGGCCCTCGGGTGCTTGGCATAGCTCATTACAGCTATCTTCAGTAGATAGCAACACACTAATGGCATATCCCACAGCCTACACTTGCTCGTGTACCGGGCAGGTTAGATCATGATTCCATCTCCATGGTTAGATTGATGGACAGCGTTTGCGGTTTGAAGGAGCAAATATATAAAGTGCAAAAGCCCTCAAGTCATGATAAAAGAGAGGATCAGTGTTTATGTAAATAGGGCAAATCATTATCGATAACAAAGTTTGGTTATAGAATTAGCGCCGTTGACAAATTCTCCACGAAGTTCTGTGATATTACTCTGCAGTACTGATCGTCATTTCTGACTGAAAGGATGATGCCTGGCGACAGTGTAGGCCTGAGCACTGAACGCATGTGGGCTGTCATGAGAACAAAAACGCGCACGTTCATGTATTTAGCGTACAACTACAATCATCATAGATGTACAAATTTCTCACATTTACTCCGCTTTCCGATCCACTAAGGGCATTCCTGCAGATTTCTAAAACACAAGGGTTCAATGCCCCAGTAAACGGTGACGGACATTTTTAGTACTTTTTACACTGCAGTAGCAGCGGCTATAAAGGCACCCAATCTTCACTCAGTAGACGGCTGACATGTTCAGCTAATGATCTCAACTTCCACGAGGCCACAACATGGAAAAGAAAAACTAGTACTTTAAACGGAACAAAATGTCTTCGATGTCTGAGGAACATCTAAATTTCACTGACAGAAAACAACAGTGTATTAGTTACTGTACTATGATCATGAAAAAGGAGGTCATTGTGTGTCTTCATTGATGCAAGTAAATGCTATCTGAAATCCTAACAGCCTAATCACTCTGAACATCTACAAGGAAACTATGGACGTATCTCCTCCAGGCCTGTTTTGAATAATTTTGCAATACATCATGTAGTGTATTTTACAATGTATGTGGATGCTGACCTATCTTTAGTTTATTTCTATTGAAAAGTTTGTACTTCGCACTCGGACACTTACGCGTGGAATCTGAGCATTAAAATATTGTTATTAATGCTTTAATTACCATTATCACGCTATTAAATTGATATTTTCCACAATTTACACGATACAAGACCTCACCCCCATATAGTGTGACTCTGTTTATTCTGTGTTTATCGTGTATTGCTCTTTGTGAACCCTGGCTGCCGTTCCAGGTCACTTCTGGTCCGTTGCAAATCAGACAAACGCTTCGCTGAGGCTTATGTCAGCTACTCAGGAATAACAACAGGCGCTCTCGAAGCCTAACCCACTCAGGGAAAAAAGCCCCAAATGAACAGTTGTTTTAAAAACAAATTTAAGATGGCGCCCAAAAGGATCATTTTGCAGGGTCGGTAATGCAAATGGTGTGGCTCGTTGCTGTTAATCAGTTGTTTTTATAAGTACCAACCCGCAGATTTAAAGACGACAAACACTCAGTCTCAATTCACTGTACATGCACATAATGAACCCCAACGTGCACTGTAGCACCTACCAGCAAAAGTCATGTGCGTCATCTTTTGACCTTTACCCTTTCCAGTGTCATGCAACGCAGATAATTCGAGCACCAAATGCTGTCGTAATCCTGTGTGTAGACCAATGTGGATGAAAGGATATTTATTGCATCTTTTCACAAAAGTACATCAGTGCTAGAGATGTAAATTGTAATATTGAGTCTTGATAGAGAGCGTGCCTTGATAATAGACACAGCGTGTTGCGCAACACACTTGTCTTCGAATTTCACTTGATTTAAAATCGCGAAGGACTCATGAGGTCAGCTTTGTGGCCAAATTTATCACCCCAAGACTTGATTATCTAATTTAATCAAATGATTTAAATGATTTTGTCTGAACTGTACGATAGCATTTTATTTATCTCACCAACTGTTGTTACAGTATACGCAACAATAATTATGCAGATTTATTAATACAGTTGTATATCAATTTACATGTTCTTGCATCTTAAAAAGCCGCAGCCACAGGCGATATAACGAGTTCATGGGCCTATTTCCAAAGAAAGGCTTTCGCCAGTATGCAATCTGTATATTGTTTTCTAGTTGATTTCCGGAGGTTATACCCAGTACAATCATGCAGCATCTGTTTTGAGCTTTCACTTTTTAAGTGTAGAAGCGTTTGTCGTTTCACTTCATTTTTGCCGTCGCCTGCCGGATGCAAAATGCTTCTCACGTACGTTATCAACATTAATTGAAGTGTTACATATCACCTGTTGGAATGTCTGTCGAAAATCAGTTTCCATGGTATCATAGCAAGACCTGAAACTCGTGGGTCTACACACCTGCACAGGGCACCAAAATGAAGGTTCATATAATATTTCATAGATATGTAATTTAAAGGTGATCTTTTGGGTGCGATAAGTTTGAAGAAAAAATCAGGGCCGAATTATGAGACCATATAGACACAGAATACATGTACACTATACGGCCTATGGAAATCTTTGGGGCCCAACAGAAAATTGAGGGTCTCCAAAATGTTCACTGTGCGCCATATAGAGGAACACGTTCCCTGTGAAATTATTGGGGAAAACCTTATTTCTTTTTCACGTCTCTGGCGTTTAACGGCTTAAACCACATGCACCACCTACCATCAGTTCTTGTTTATGACAGATTCACTTTTCTAAAAGGCAAATCCAAATTTTCTACAACTGTTGCGGAAATATGGTGGATACTTTTCCACTTTCACTAGCTGGTGTTGACTTAGCTATACAGTCCTACTTGTTTATACATTTTACGCGAAGGGTTTGCCGTTCCGGATCATACAATTTCAACAAGCTTTTTATTTCTAATAGAGCTACCAGTTTTGGTCCTGGTTGTTTTTATAGTTCGGCTTTAATATGAACAACATGAAATTCGCGCGTGTATTTCGCACTCTGTCTGTAAATATTTTGCTGGTACCAAGAGAGTTACCCTCAGAACCCTTGCGCCTTTTGCTGACTTACACCGAACAAAGTAAATTGTAAAGGCCGGTTCACAAACACATCGATCACAAACGGGAATTTGTGACGTCAGATCAAATCTTTACGCTACGAATTTGCAAAAATCGAACACATTTCAACTCGAGCGAGATTTTGCTGCGAATCTTTTGTGATGTCAAATTCGCTTCACTTTTACGTTCGCCTGTACAGTGAGTAGAGCACTCTTATTTGGCCCACAGGCGGCCAAAGTTTGCAGAAAAATCATCATTTAGTTCGTGCTTAGGTTTACCTCAATTTGATTCAAAATGTACTTGAAAGAGGTTTGTATTTTTGTTAAGTATCGATATTCAGAAATACGTGTATTATCTGGTTTTTCGCTAGCTGCGTGGGATTTTTAGCACAATTATTTTTATTC